TAGTATCAGAGTAGTGCTGGTATCTTAAAATGAGCTAGAAAGTGTTTTCTCTTCAATTTTTTGGAAGAACTTGAGGAATATTGGCATTACTTCTTCTTTAAATGTTTGATAGAATTATATATTGAGGCTCTCTGGCCTCAGGCTTTTCTCTGTTGGGAGGTTTTTTATTTCTGATTTATCTCTTACTAGTTATAGGTTATTTATTTTAGATTTTTTATTTCTTTATGGATCAGACTTGGTAGGTTGTATGCTTCCAGGAATCTATCAAATTTGTTCTAAACTCTCGACCACCATCTCTTCCCATCTGAATCTGGATTACTCCCTTGGAACCTGACTTTGTGGGTTCTCAAGAGCTCTCCTTAGTAAACTTTTGTTAGTGGCTTGGTAAAATTCATCAAAGAGGGCATCCAATCTTGTGAACAGTTGCCTTACTCACAGAGATACTATAGTTTTTAATATGAGAAGCTCATTGTTTCTCAAAAGCTACCACAGAACAGGTACTATCATGGAAGAATTGCTGCTTTTTCCATTTCTACCCTCTTGGACTTCTATAAAAATAAAATAGATAGTTTTAAACTAGAGGATCTAAAATAAGTATGCCAGATATCTAAAATAAATATCTTAAATGCATGTTAAGTTAGAGTAAAATCTGGAAAAATTTGTTTCCTCCTGTATTAAGTGGGGATCTATGTTTATATTCTACATCCCTAAGGAGAAAAAATTACAAAAAGCAGCTCCTCTGTCCAAATACGCTAAACATTTGTTGAGTAGTTACCATACGTATACCATGCTTATGGAGATTTTTTTAAAAACTAGCTTGACTACTAAACTAATTACCTCATCTTGAACTTGTATAAATTTGGTTAGAAGGTGACAGAGTTAGAGTAGCTATGGAATGATGGTGGCAGCTTGGAGCAAGAAAGTATAGAAAACTGAGTACAAACTTACAATCATTAATAGAAAAATAAGCCAAGATCACTGGAGTACTCCAAAGCAGTGTATGTAAGCAATACCACATTAGGTTCCATGCAGGCCCCATAGTTTTGAAATAAGTACAGCAGGATGATATTCTTTTGTTGAATTTGACTGACCTTTTTTTCTTTCCTTTGATAATATAAAATAATTTAAGAATAGAATAAAGAGTTACAGGTGCCCACTGGCTTGGCTCAGTGGTTGAGCATCAACCTATAATCCAGGAGATCCTGGTTTGATTCCTGGTCAGAGGACATGCCCGGGTTTCGGGCTTGATCCCCAGCAGGGGGTGTACAGGAGGCAGCCGATCAATGACTCTCTCTCATCATTGATGTTTCTCTCTCTCTCTCCCTCTCCTTTCCTCTCTCTGAAATCAATAAAATATTTTTTTAAAAGAGTTTGAGGTATCTAATAATTCATATCACTCTGTTTCCATAATAAAATTAGGAAGCACTTTTTCTTTAAGAGGCTTTACATATTGCAATATTTATCTAATCAACTAGATTTTTAAAAATCATTTTTTCTTTCAACTCTAGAGTTAGCTTATAGCAAAGAGATTATTATTCTAATATACCTTCAGATCTGCCATAAACATTTAAAATTCTCAACGGAGTCACTGTTGCAGAGTGGGATCATATTATCTGGGAATTAATGCTGTTTTAGTGAATAGCATTAACCTCCAAATTACAGTGAGGCAGAATATTTAAAGTACACAATTGTATTCTTAGTATCCAAGACTTAGTTAACCTGGATTAATCTTTGCTAGATTAATGCTTATTAAATGCAACTCATAACAAATTCCACATTATGCTCATAGTAGCATATTCTAGTTAATGAAATAATGATACCGCACTGAACTGCTCTTCTCGCTATTCTCTACTTCTTCCTTTCTGCCTAACCTTTTAGCACTGGAGCTTCCTGAGTCTCACCACTTTGGGCCTATTTACTTCATTGCCCACAGCCAGTCCTTCAGTGATCTACTCTTATCTGATCTCCTGGCTCTGTCATATTTATATAAATGAATCCCAAGTTACCCAGACCAGACATCTCTTCTAACCTCCATACTACTTCTCTGGCTGAGTTGCTCAGTTAGTTGGAACATCTTTCAGTAAAACAAAAAGATTGCTGTTCGATTCCTAGTTGGGGCACATGCTTAGTTTACAGATCCATCCGGGTCTGGCACATCCTTCTGGAAGGCAGTCTCTCTCTCTCTCTCCCTCCCTCCCTCCCTCC